AACACACTTAGATTTTTTTTGCCGAGATGGGCACCACCGAGCAGCTCGGCATTTTATTTTGCTGGAAATTCAGCAAAAAATATGTTTGTTAGCTGAGATCTCGGCAAAATTCCCGTTTGTTAGCTGAATCTCGGCAAGTTTTTCACTGAGATCCAGCTAAATAAAATGCCGAGCTGCTCGGTGGTGCCCATCTCGGCGAAAAAATCTAAGTGTGAAAGTAAGCATTTTCTAGGGAGACTGGGACTACCCATTAAATGAGTAAAAATATTACCCATTTATGAGTATTTGTTATTCAAAAATCAATCCTTACTACTTGCTTTTGTAGTTGTAATTACTCATAAATGGGTAAAATTTTACTCATTTAATGGGTAGTCCCAGTTTCCCTCGAAAATGTTTACTTTGTAACCATTTTTGGATATTTTGCGGTTATCGTGTAAGCGAAATGTCATAACAAGATAGCTTATGTAACGTATTGTCAACTTTAGACTGAACTTGGCGTTAATTTGCACCAACTTTCCTATGTTCCGTTATATTTAAAACATTTTTGTGCCATTTTGAAAAATTAATCGATTCAAAAGATCGATTTAAAATTATTGATTAAAAAGGTAAATCAATTATTTTCAAAAAAATGAATCGATTCACTAAGATCGATTCTTGCCTCAAGATCGCCCAATACCCAGAACGCTTCATGATTTTCTGCACAAAACCGACTGACACCTTGGACTTTTTAGTGACACCTCGAATTGACATGTTTGGACGGTTGTTGAATTTTACTGTCCATTGAACCACTTTTACGACCACTCCCTTTCTTCCTTCGGGTACTCAGACGCTCCTTGAAGGTTATTATCACACGAGATACAGTTGTATTTGAAATTCCAAGCTTTTTAGCGATCCATCGGTGGTACGCCTCTGGGTTTTGATTGTAATTCCCCGTATTTATTCACAGACAATTTCCTGTTCCGACGACATGACTGAAATACTGTATGAATAACTATGAAACTTGACAGATGTAAACAATACACTATGAATAAGATTTACTCAAATTTTCAGGTTTTTTTACTCATACGGTTCAAAAGTTACAGAAGATTTTCGGTGTGCCATTTTTATCTAATACACCCTTTATTCAAAGACTTGTATGCATTGTGAGTGACCTAGTTACAAATCAATTGTGAATTGTGTCTACTGTCTACTATTTCTTCCTGTATTTGAAAATATGCATCTATGCAAACTGGTTCTATATGAAATAGTATGTAGGGGAAACGCTCCTATAGTTGCGGTACGTTAGAAGCGTTAGGTTCCTATAGTTGTGTACGGAGTCGCCATACACAACTATAGGAACCTAGTGCTTCTAACGTACCGCAACTATAGGAGCGTTTACCCTAGTGCAAGGTGATTTCAAATTCTGTCCACTGAAGCACCTTCAAAACAAAACCAATCGTTACTTATTAAGAGTAAATGCTTGTATGAGAAAAAAGAAACGTGAACTTGGATCAGCTGCCAATTGAACTTTCCAAAAAAGTGTAGAGAATCTAGCTAAAGACTTATCAGTGCACTATGGGAGTCCAGTTGGCCAATGAGAAGAAGACCGACTTTCTCCGATTCGTGATTCATGTTTGTCCATCGGTGGTAGACTATTCAACCGAGAAAATCCCAGACAAATCATATACTTACCGAGATCCAAGTAATAGACTCGGACAGTTGCCGATTTTTGTGAAAATCAATAATAAATACAATAGGTTAAATGATGGCTTCAGCACCTATTGACTGTTTTCGGCAACCCTAATTTAAACGTTAATTTCGCTATATTTTTCTCACCAAAACACTTCGCTGAATGTATTTAAACGATTCCTTAGTCTTTCAGCTTCAATCTGATTACATTTTTACTGCTGAGCAAACCTGTTAAGCCAGGTTTGTCTTCAAATGAAATATACGCACTACAAAATATGGCTGATTTCGCGTTCCCGATAGTAGAACTTCGAGTTCCCGATAGTAGAACCGTAGAACAGCTGCTTAACACGCAGCTCAAATGGAAAGATTGTCGAAGAAAAAGAGGCTACCGACAATAGTAACACTCAACTGAGAAGTTTGGAGCGTTGTAAAAACGTTTTCAACCCGTTTTGGACAATTCGAATGAAATGGATAGAATAGCCAGCAGCAGATAAATGTAAACAAACAAACAAACACGTCATATGTGTGCGTGACGCTGAGAAGTTGCTAATAGAAGTTCGGACGCTGCTTAGATTGACGTGAATACGTAAAATCCCCTATCACTTTTCTCTAAATTGGATACATTTTTTCCTAGGTTTAAAACTAAGAGTAAGAGGAAACAACTGGCTTCTTTTTATCTGTGACGTTTTCTTCTTCTTTCGCGGAAACGACCGTGCAAAAACTATTTCATTATGGGCGACGCAGTCGACTGTCAAAATACAAGAAAATCGATTCCCTGTTGTAAAAATTATCGCGTTTCTATACGTTCACCCTTCATAGTCTGGCGGATAGAATCTCGGAAACCAATTGAGCTGTCAAATAGCAGATTCAATCGAGCAAATCATGACCAACATCAGAAAAGAGCAAATCAGCTATTGTGAACAATACTTCGGAAACCCTTTTCTTGTGTCAAGGCTCGCCTATTCACACTAACACCATCTTCAGGTTGTGGAAAGTTGCTCCTATCCGATGATGCTGGTAATTTACCTTCGATTGGCGAGGAAAAAAAATCAACGTTTTGTTTACAAAAGTTGATAGTACGTTTTCAATTGTTGGTCTACAATATATTGAATTGGTTCCGCTTTTTGATAGATAGAAATTCTATACGCCAGCCTATAAATATAGCGACTATAGTTCACCCGGCCGGCCAATCAGACGCTGGTTCGTGTTTGACAGAAAATTGGTTCAAAAAGCCCCCCTATTGTCTCCTCTTCCTCTTAGGTTTAAAAATGGAAAACTGGAATCTTTAATCATATGGTTTAAAATGACGTACAGAGTATTTATACTCGATCATTTAAAGTATTTTTTATTAGAGACACTTTACATCTAATGGTGCATTCTTGTTATGAAATAAATAATTACAATGTATTGTACATATTAGTGTCTATTCGTTTAATCTCTTCTTCCTCCTCGTGACGAAGTACTGTTTTCAGACAAGAAGGGTCAATGTTGTATTTTGCCCGAACATCATTATATTTACTGCAGTCCAGCAAGCGGTACAAGCACATATCGTCGATAATAGACGATTGTTGTGTATGAGAACGCTTGCGCAAAAAGACTAGTAGGGAGGAAGACGGATTCGAAACTCAAATGTCATTAGCCAAATACATCCGTAGACTATAGGTCCACCGTTGTATAATTGGCAATGGACCCGTGTACTGAATGGGAATTGTGGGTTCAAATCCCATCGGTTCCCTTAGATTATTTCGAAAATTTTCCGAAGGAAAGCGTGATCAGAGATGCATCGGCGCCGCTAGGAATTATTTTAGTAAATATTTAAAAAAAAAGTAAAAGCCCAAATATATCTAAATGTGTTAATTTAATATTTTAAATTTGTTTAATTAAAAAAGCTTATGAAAAATTCCAACTTTTGGCAACAAAAAATGAAAGAATTTGAAAGTTCGTGTTCTACGATTTTTCAATTTTGATGTGTCCATAGTTTTGCACATTCCAAAAGTTTACAATACTATCACAACACAAAATTTGCCACTTTACCGATTTATCCGATAAAAGCATACAAAAAACTGATAATATCACTGTATTACAGCTTATTTTCAAAGGCTGTAATATTCTCTAGCGGTGGATTATCAAAACATTTCAATCCAGACATAACATCTACATGAAAAATCAAAAACAAAGAGAAATTTTCCGACGATTTTTTTTTAGTTGAGACATGTGAATGGACCTGACGATATGTTCGTGAACGTGTGCGTAACGGTCAAGTGAAAGTTCGCATCAAAATGGATTGAATTTTTTACAGAAACCCCAAACTGAGATACGAACCTAACTAGCTTGTTGTTTTCAGAAATACTTGAAGCTTGAAGCCCTCGACAAATCGACCGTTTTCCACACAACCTTCGTCACGGAGGAAGAAAGTGTGATTTATGATCAACGAAGCTGATTATGGCTACCTTTGTACGTCCTGTGCGCTTTTAGCATCAGTCAATTAACTGGAATCATGATTTCTAAGCATCATTTCATACTTCACACTGGGCTTCCTATCAAGTGGCCCCTGGTGATGCATTTCAATTAACCACCTATCCTAGACCTAGAAACATGTGCCACCGTTCTTCGAACCGGCATCGAAAAGTGCAGTTGACCGTTAAATAGATCCAATTGTATGCATTAACCGTCACGGTGTATGCGGATCATCCAGCAGCGTCAAGAGTGAAGGTGTGTGGGCCGTCAATTGGAACATCAATCAATTATGTTGGGCGAGCTGGTAATTCATCTTTCAGACGTTAACTTCTGAATAAATAGGTAGTAGCCACATTCCGCGAGCACGGCGTCCAATCGTTTCTGGCTTGTTTAGTTAGTATTTGCTCTGTGTGCATTTTTAAATTGTGTATACATGTTTCATTATCGAATGTGGAAGATTCAGATGCAAGAACGCACCTACATCCGCTCGTTACTTTTTTGTTTTGCACTATTACGAAGCAATTGTTGATGTTGCTAATCAAAACAATTGGCACTCAGTTGCATTTTTGCGCTCTTCGTTGCTTTGCAAACGACTCACTTAGCGCGTGGGCGTGATGCTGAAATAACTTTCAAGTTCAAGTTAATTAGCCAGATTTGGGGATTGGTACTGCTTCCTGAATGTTTACATAATAGTTTTTTCTCAAGTCTTGAAGAGTTGTGGGGTTGAGGCACGTGGCTTACATTTTTAGGTTTCAAAGGAGTTTGTGATCATTTTTTTGCACGCCTAATGGTGAAGGGCAGATCGGATTTCTTAAAAGCAAAAGATGAGCCAAGGGAATTCACAAACAAATCTTTTTTTCATTTCACTTTTGCAGCTAGCAGCAAGGAGCCTTCTGGTGCCGAAACCCCCGGCGATAGAAGTGACGGCACAATGAGCGTAGAGAATAAAGCCGAACTAGTGGCGAAGCTTACTCCCCTGCAGTATCACGTCACCCAGGAGGCCGGCACCGAGCGGCCGTTCACGGGAAAGTACAACAAATTCTACGAACAGGGTACCTACATTTGCGTGGTGTGTACCCAGGAGCTGTTCAGCTCGGACACGAAATTTGACTCCGGTTGCGGTTGGCCTGCGTTCAACGATGTACTCGACAAGGGCAAGGTGACGCTGCACGCCGACGGCAGCTTAGCCGGTAAGGAATACATATAGTGAATCAATTTGGCGTGTCTGTGTGGCCTAGTGTTAGCAGCTGAGTTTTTGTTGAGGATGCGCGAGATTACGAAACGAGATTGGTGCTTGCTTGGTGAATGAATGGAAGTGTTTAGTTTAATGGTTGTTTGCATGATTAATTTATCTTCCATAGGTTATCAAAGACATGACAATCGACTCTGTGACTAATCAAATCCACTGTTTGTGCCAATTGAACACAATAACTTCATCAACATTGTCACAACTTTTCGCCATTTTCATAAACCATCCTACCAGCAGACGAATCCAATCAATCATTATTTGCAAGCTTTATCTAGTTGCTTCGTCCATTGTTTAATGCCTAACGTCAAAATCTGAATACTGGGATCCTCCAAAAGTGCGGTGGGTGGTGCCGTCCACCGAATTTGTTTTTTTTTATTTATTTTTTAAACACTAGCATTTAATGGTGTACTGTAAAATGTCAGAAGAATTGTTGTCCCTAGATCTTGAATTCTATAGCTTGAGTTTAAGGAATTTTGTTCTTGAAGATCTGATTGTGTTCAATGCAGGGTATTGGTTTTACTCTTAAGTTCTTGGCATACGAAATTGGAAAATATGAAACTACGCACTTAATGAAGTTGCATCATCTTAAGAGAGTTGAGATAGGGTTAACTACCCCATTTCCGGCCTATTAAGCACAACCCGCACTTAGTCTTCCTTAATCTAGCGCAGTTTAGCACCAAGTGGAATGTTATTATTACTGATGGTTTTCAAATTTATTTACCTTTCCGTACGTACCGTAAGATTTGATAAAGAGAAACCAATCGTTGAGATATTGTCAAAAGTCTAACACTGCTTCTTGACGCCAAACTCGGCCTACGGATTCTAAACTCAGCCTAACGCATTGAAACGCCAATGAATTCACTTCGGCCTATCGGATGAGGATAACAATTGATTCAGTCGGAGCGCTTCTTTTGTTTTTGTGAATTATGGGTGCAAACCTTCATTTCACGCGTTCTAATTGACTTCGTTCGGTAGCTTATTAACTAAAGTATAGTACCAAACGCATAATTGACTTGTTAACTCTTAAATCATGGATTTATTTGAAGTTTTCTGCTCGATAGGCCCAAAATGGGCGATTAGGCCGAAGTAGTTCTCTACCCTACGTAATGAACTAAACAATAATTTAAAAAACTCAGGATTGGGGCATAGAAAATGCCAAGATCTAAGCATATGAAATCCTGAGCATAAAACAACTATGAATAATGTCCAACAAATATCTAGAAAAAAATATGTATGAGTTTTAAACATTTTTGCTAAATATTAGTTCATAACATCAAACAAAAAACATAAAAGGCCGAAAAACTTCTAGGGGACCGATGGGAGCCTCAGAATGTACGTTTATCAGCAGGCATTCTACAAATCGGTCATTGGATTCACAGTAGAGCTATCACCTGAACAGTTCCACGCCGAATCGGATAAACTCGGCCTTCTCCGATTTGCATAAAACTTTACATGGTCGAATCATGTTGAATGTTGTAATTTTGTTCAAAATTGTGTCTTTGTCATTTTTCACTAAATTGCAGCACGAAAACGTCTCTTATGATCGATTTTTTGTAATTTGGAAAACTATATCTTAAAAATTTATTATTTTTTTTTAATAAAAGAATCTCATATAAAATACAAACTTTTGAAATATTGATAACCAGACACTTGTAAATTGGCAAAAATCGTTAATAAAGAACTTTTGGTCAAAGTTTTGAACTTTTTAGTACGCTTTTTTATGTAATTTCTACACAGAAAATAATATATGAACCATTATTGATCGTTATCTGTGCAAAAATTACATAAAAATGCTAGTTAACAAGAAGCTTAAAATCAATCAAAAATTGATGTCCATCGATTTTCGTCAATTTTCAAGTGTCCATGGATTTAAATACTCCAAAAATTTGCATTATTCATTTTTGCATTGCAGCTTTATTAAAAAAAACTTATAAATATTGAAGATATACTTTTTGAAACATTTAAATTTTTAACTCTTTTTTTTTAATTCTTACTCAAAATCACTAGAAAATAATACCCTGTGTATTTTTCCCAGAAAGACTTTACTTTTCTAAACAACTTTGTCTCAGACGTCATTTCGAACAGAATTGACATTTTCGCGCTTCAATTTATTGAAAAATTTAACAGACACCATTTTGTAAAAAAATACAAGATCCAAAATAGCCGAATTTTTGCAAAAATGTGAATGTTTGCCCACAACACACAATTATGCAAAGTTTCATTTCCAGGGCTAAAAATTGTACAGAACTATGCTGTGGCTACCACAGTATTTTACATTTGATCGTTCATATACAGTAGCGCCAAAAGCATGCTGTGGTGGGCTCAAAACTTGACCATGCAAATTGATCAACTGACCACTTTGTCAAGCAGTTTTGGCGTGACTTTCTACCAGCGATTTCACAAAACTGGACCAACTAATTTTTATTTTTTTTTATGAAACGCACAAATGTTGGCTACTTTTCTTGTGGTTCTAGAAGAAAAAATCTCAAAATAATGTTTTATTTCAAAGTTCGAGTGGTAGTAAACGTCATTTTAACTGCTCGAATGAAGTGGTTAATTAATAAGTGTTAATGCAAAACTTTAGGTAATTTATTAGTGTAAATAAGGAACGACAGTATATGATCACAGTTTTGTGTGTGCATAGGAAACGATATTCTGGACTTAACAAATATTTTTTGTATAAAAAAAATAAAAATTATTTGTGGAAAAAACAAAGTTCAAAATCTTTACGCAAAGTTTATGTTCTACGATTTTAGTAAATTTTAATGTGTCCGTCGTGTTAAAGTTTGTTGCTTCCATTTTACGACGAAAATTTGTTTTTTTTTTAATCAATCCAACTTCCTACGTCATTTCGATCATATGAGCCGTTTCAGTGCTATGATTTATTAGAAAATATCGAACACGCCATTTAAAAAAAATAGGTGCGAGTCAAAATTCCAGCACATCATTAGTCCATTTCCCTTAGCGGGTTCTCCCTTCCGGACAATACTCGCGAAAGAAAATTTTGATGGTTACACTCGGGTGTTTTGTGTCTCGTTTTCAGTTCTGAGAGTTGCATTTTATTCAGTTGCCACATACAATGAGCTCAGTGTCAGATCAATCTTCGAACCCCGGACTAAAGTTGCGTGCAATCAATAATATTTTCGAGCAGTACCATCCATTATCAGAACATGTAGCAATCAATACGAGATTTTTCAAGGTTAGCATAAATAATACCCTGTTTTCTCGAGGTTCTAGAAGAAAAAATATCAAAAAATGGTTCCACGGTAAAGTTCGAGTGGTAGGAAACGTCATTTTCTACTGCTCGAATGATATGATCCATTGAAGGGTGTCCATAGTTAAATGGCATCACTTAGAAGTATTCGCCAAAAATAAGTTTCTCAACCGATTGTCATTAAATTATAAGGGAATGTAATACCAACTGGTCGAAACTAACGATTTTAAATTGGCTCATACTGGACTAGCCTATCGGTCCCAAGTACATCAATTAACGTACCCCATTCTAGACGAAATTCTAGTACTACACTATGTTTGTTTTGATTCGCTATGAAAGTTTGACAGATAAAATGAAGAGTTCGTGAATTTTCCTATGTTTCGGGGGGTGTAACGATTAGCTTGGGACCGAAGAGAGTACTAGAGCTGAGCCAAAAAGTTGAGCACGTTTCTTCTGGACCTTCTAGTCTTAGAGTTACCTCTATGGTAATACTAAATATAAGCTTGGTTTACTAATCTAATCTAATATAATCTAATTTAATCAAATCTAACACAAACGCAGCCAATACGAGAAAGCATCTTGGAAAATAACAGTTGTGTGTACAGCTTACGTCCCCTCGTTCTAGCTGTCCTATTATGTCGTTCATTGCGGTTTGGTGCTTTCTGAACCTTGAATGAACGTAGTACAGCTTATTTCTTGGCTTTCTGCACGAAACTTTTTGTCAGGTACAGGTTTTTAGCGACATCTCGAACGGAATAGTTAGGTTTGTGTTTGAAGGCAGCAACCACTCGCTTGTTCCCATATTCGTGAACCACAGCCGTGAACCATAGTCAGGCATGGAAAATCATTTGCATTCATTTCACACATTCATTTACATTCATTTGCCTCTAACTTTTTTCATCAACAGCATTCCGCAAAATGATGTATAGAGCTTTTGTCGATTTTTTTTATTAGCTACAAGTTATGTTCATAACTCAAATCTGTATCTGTTATGCATTGTTACTGTTTTTCAGTGAATGTAAAATACATTCACTGAAAAACAGTAGTGGCTTCTGTTCGCTCTGCTTCGTCATGCATATGAGATACGGATTTGACTTGTTAACAAAAGTTGTAGCTTACAACAAAACCTACAAAAGCTCTGTACATCATTTTGCAGAATGCTGTTAAAGAAAAAAGTTAGGGGCAAATGAATGTAAATGAATGCACGAAATGAATGCAAATGATTTTCCATGCCTGACCATAGTTCACGGTGTATATTTGAGAAAATTTTGTTCTGGATAGCTGGCTGTGATTTTTAGTTCACGGTCCGTTCCCGTTTTCGGAAACGGATTTTTTTCCGAGCTTCAACGCAGTACGGAACACTTTTTCTTGCACTCACTTGCCTTCGATTGACAGTTAAACCACAGAACAGACATAACACTTAGAAGAAAATTCTTCAAAAAATATCGTCAAGTGTATTTTGCATGCGCACTAGCACCATCTATAATCCACATTCCCAAGCATTGTTTTGCAACCGGAGCATCCCTCGTTCATGCAGTTTTTTCACTAGTTGCTTTTCCCTCGTTCTGTCAACGCGTCAGCTGTGTTGAATAAAAACAAAAAAGATGGAAGTCAGTGATGTCGGTTCTATGAAATTTTCCGTAGATCTATAGAATTGATTGAATTCTGCACAAATACGGATATGTAGGAAAAATTCACAGAAGCTAAAACTTTTTTTAGGGATTTGTTTTGTTTGTTTATTTGGCTTTTTCTTTTGCTGGAAACAAGTTTTAAACGAGGTAATGCATCACTGGTTAGTGCCCTTTCTAAATGTAGATGTATCAATGTTATATGTATCAATCAATGATATTCATGGTGAAGTATTGAACATCAATAACTGGTAAAAGTTGATAGAATATTACAGTCATCAACATGATTTGTTCTCGAATTCTGTGTACATCGTACAACGTAATATTAGGAACGGAATGGTTAATGTCCAGCAGTTTTGATTTAATATTCAACAACTTTTTTTTTGTATTCGTCAGACGTGGTATGTGTCTCCAGTGGGATGCCTTGACCACTTATCATTTTCAAGAGCTGACATCTACTAACTAGACGTGAAAAAACACTGGTATCACTGATAAGTTCGAAATGTGGTGGATTGCTAAATGCTTCACTGGCGCCACCATGACAAATGCAAGCACATTCCCAACTAAAACATTACTTTCGATGAATGTGATTGTGAGTGTTATGTCTGTTTGTCTGTGGTTAAACCATACTATAGAGGTAACTCTAACACCCGAAGGTCCCGAAGAAACTTGCTCAACTTTTTCCCAAGTTAATCGATGCCCCCTAGAATTTCGACTAGAATGGGGTAGCCTTTTTTTTAAACTTTATTTTAGAGATTTGTAGAATGGGGTACCTTCATCGATGTACTTGGGACCGATATGCTAGTCCGGTATGTGCCAATTTAAAATCGTTCGTTCCCATCGATTGGTTAAACGTTCTCCGAAACGTTTTATGACAAGAGAAACAGTAGATTGTTGGATTCCCAACATCTTTCCTATGGCTCGGTGCGAAAGATGTGGGTTATTGAGGCACGCTGTACCCTCGTATACATTTTCAAAAATACTAGAAATTTCACACTCACGCAGTGTAAACAATACACGCTGAGGCCAATTTAATTAAAATTAACCCAAAGGGCAAACTGTTACAGTTTTTTAAAAGTGATGCAATTTAACTGTGGACGCCCTTTATCATTAGTTTGACAAATATTGTTGTTGAAAGCCTCTATAATAAAACCAATCAATGTAGCAATTTAGAAAAAGCAAACCATAATTGGACCTGCTGACCTATCTTGCTCCAACTCACCGTACATTACGCTCTACGGGATAAGGAGGAGCAGAAAGGTTGGAAATGAATGGCAGTTGGAAGATAGTAACAAAAGATTTTTTGAAGCATATCTCGGATAGAGATTAACAATCCCAGGGGTATACTGATGCTTAACTCTGTGTGTCAAAAAATGGGTACGGTATTTCTAGAAAATAAGGTTTTTCAAGAAAATGGCGTTTTAGTAAAATATCTATACCTTTTTATAAATTCAATCAAATATACCCAATACCGTCCCAATAGTTGATGAATGTATGATGAGAGTCAGCATTCAGAGACGTATCTTTTTAACATGTGCTTTTAGAGCCGTTTTCCTAAAATTTAAGGATAGCTGTACACTCAATTTTAAGATAGAGTGCATGTCTTTGCTGACTAGGCTATCGGGAAGTCCAACAAAAGTGCTTACACCAGTATACAGATAAAGAAGTCAGTCAATTGGGTTCTTAAAGTTTGAAAAATATATCCGTTTTAATATTCATCATCTAAAGAGCTTCGTTTTCTGAGGACGATATTTTTTTCTTCGAACCCATAGACGTTCATCTCGATTTTTAAATTAAGATTTAAAGCAAAATAATAGCTTCACTAATTGACCAGCCAGGTAGGGTCCAGATGTAAGAGCTGCCTCCCTGGCATCGGTACCATTGGTACTCAGTATGGAAAACAAGATCGACGGAAAACAAATCAAGGAAACAAACAAGAATATGCATTTACCTGAACACCCTTAAAGAACTGAAAGATATCAAAGCTGGTCTGGAAAACTAATTTTGATTATCAATGTGATTTGATAGATCACATGATATATATCGGCTCATGTTAGTTTCTCGCCACTTCCCCAATGGTATCCGGAACACGGCCGGGTCTAATCCATGTCAATATATGTTGACTTCTTTCGCAGGGATATTGCGATTAAGATGTGCGGGTTTGGTTCAATATTACTGTTGACACTCCATTTGATTAGCACTGAACTTCTCATGTGATTTAAGGTGTCGCATTAAAGGGTTTGCCCATGTCAAAAACTTGCAACAACCCCGGGGGCACCTGGAACATGTCCAGATGTGACCAATGTGATCTTAGACACTAATTATGATTCTTATTGATCTTTTTATAGGGTCTCCGGTAGCTCAGTCGGTAAAGGCGCAGATACAATGCAAGACTATGCTGGAGGTGGCTGAGTTCGATTCCCGGTCCGGTCCGGGTTGGAAAATTCCTCGACTTCCCTGGGCATAGAGTATTGATTGTACTTACCACACAATTATACTAATGCAAAAATGGTACAGGCATCGAAAGCTCTCAATTAATAACTATGGAAGTGCATCTAGAACACTAAGTTGAGAGCACGAAATTCAAAGAAAAAGAAGAATAATAAGACCTTATTATATAATTCTTTCGTGATTTAATGTGTCAGATTATGGGTTTTCATTCAAGATAATTGTGATCATTTTCCCGGGATTACCCGGAACATGCCCGAGTGTGGCCAATGTGATCCTGAACACTCTGTTTGACTGCCATTGTGTTTGTTTTTGTATTTTCATGTGTTTTGATGCTTCGCATGATAGATTCTTAGTCATGTCAGATTATAGCCACTTCCCTGATGGTACCCGGGACATGTCCGGAATGGACAATGTTCTTTTTTTTTTGAATCATCATGTGATTTGATGTGTCGCATTATGGATTTGGATCAGAGCGTTAAACATTAATCAATGATTAATGATTAACCCTTTCCTTCCAAGAAGGTTTTTCGTTGTATTGAGATGCAAAAATGTCTTTTCGAAAAAAGTTAAATATTTCATATAGAAAAGGCTGCTTCGAAAAGTATTTCGTCTTCGCCACACCTAGATTATTATCACCCTGTTCACAATGTCCCTCCTATCCATACTCTACCCCTGGTCTAAAATATTCCTGAATTTCCTTAAAGCTCTACTGGGATTATCTGAGGTTTCCGCAGTCTTCTTTGAAGTTCTCCTTAATTTTGACATGTTTGTGATGCTTAAGGGATTTTCAGGGAACTTGAAGGTTTTCAAATACCCTGGCTCATCCTGTAGTGAGTTATTATTTTCGAACATAAGCACAAACACAAAAATGGAACCTTGACGAAAATAATTATGGTGATTTAGGTAGTCAATTTAAAGACCAATTATCAATATCATCTATAGAGTTCATTGAACAGGATGTTGTGAACACTAATGCAGATTTTTAAAGGTATAGGTTTTAACAGGAATATTTAAGAAATTTTAAATTGTCAATACTTATGTATTTTATATCAGGATTGAACATGGTCGACGTCAAGGATCTTGAAAGTTTTTCCTAAGTACTAGAAGAGAAGTCTAGAAGTGTCTTATATCAAATATATTATATTAACAATATGATCCACTCATTCGCTTAGCTGGCGAACCAAATGTTTAGCGATGAAAGCACCTCTGTGGCCAAAAAGGCTACCAATGTATTTGTTTATCGTCACGAGGGGTAAACCAAATGAAAATTTGTTTAATATTTCAAATGGATGTAATTCAGCATATTATTTTATTTGATGACAACAGTGACATGTCAGACAAATTTTAAAGTAATATACACAATGTAATTAATGAAAATAATGTGACTCTTACTTTTGTAATAAGTGCTATATTCGCACCCCTCGATTGTAAATGAATGATTGTTGCTGACCTTTTTCAACGCTAGATGGTGCGTGAAGCAATATTTTGCGGGTCGCCATTGCAATATTTGGAAAAGGCATGAATGGATCATATTGTTAATATGATATATTTGCTTATATCCAAATTAGCTGAATGCTGGCTATACAACTCAAGAACTCATGCGGTTATCTAAGCAATTGAAATATGAACACATAGACATATGAGACTGACACCGACGGCAAGTTTCCACCATACAGACCATCATCAATCGTGTTTACACGTATCGTCAATTGTCATTGCACTATCAGCAGCAATTATTTATCATGTTTCCATTTCAGCTGGTCATCGTTTCACTATATATAGGACAGGACCTACAATCGCTTATCGTTTTGCGCAATCATTAATCTGCAGAGCTTTCAATGTTCCATAATGCTTTCGATACGCTTTATCATTGCTCGCCCAATTAGACGCACTTCATCGCGCACTTCATGACACGTTGTTTTTATTTTTTTAATCTTCTCTAATACGTTATACGGTTTGGAATTGTTTTGCTCTATTAAGTGAGTGGATAGTTAATTTTTTTTGAGAGTTTTAACGTTTAGATGCTTGAAAACTGAATTTTGAGAACAGATTTCCATCGAAGCAGTATCGGTGTCGGTTCTAATGAATTGTTATTTCTCTTTTTCTTTCTCTCTTCTCTTTCTTCTCACACGGATAATTGAATATCAATTAAATGAATTGCCCTCAATTGAATTGTCACTGCGAAATGTACTCTCTGCTGCAACCTCCTTGATATTGCGCCACGAAAATAAATAACACTCGTGGGAATTCGTACCCGTTTGCGGCCGACAAATTTGACTCGTGGCTGTTTCGTCGATGATTTTCATTGGATTATTTTTTACTCACCAACATTTATTTCTTATCTGCTTTTTCATCATTTCAACATTCGTAACGTTCTGCATACGATCATCGCATTGGTTCACCCAAAATTTTACTCACACATACACTCTTCTGTTCAAAATTTGACCCACCTCCTCCGAAAAAAAAAACCTGGCCCACAAAAACCCCAATTCCCAAAATAATTTGCTTAACACACTCACACTAAGGCGGAAATCTCCTATTGTTAATCACGCAACCAGGCCGCATGCGGACCGAGGTCAGGTGCTCTAAATGTGGCGCTCACATGGGCCACGTGTTCGAGGATGGACCGCCCCCAACGCGTAAAAGGTATTGTATAAACTCGGCATCCATTGAATTCATGCCTGCTGGATCGGAACGCAAGGATGTGCCAAAATCCAGCTAGAGACCTGGATTAACTGTCCCCGTAGCTGGACGGGCCAAAACGGTGTCGGGAAAGGATGAAAATCTTCGACGCGAACCGTGTTTTATTGATATTGCATAGGCCGAAGCAAAACAGAGTGTGAAATTGAAGATGTTGATGGATGGGAAAGTTCATTTTAGTCAGCCAGCGATATGGTGTGGCTACAGGTAATACTGAGGAACAAGAGATCAATGATAGCACAACAACCACTATTACCCATACTTTAAACATGTTCAAACAGTACACGCAGGCGTTGTCTCACTACTACGATGATGTTCAGTTTTACCGTTATTTGTTAAATATTTAATTTCTGTTGTTTCTTGATGTTTTTTTCTTCAGCGACCTCTCATGGTAGCATAAATCAGGTAATCTAAGTGCTGTAAATTTACCTCGTTCCTCTGTGTAGTTTTTATCGCACTCTTTCGATACGATGTATGAAGACTAATCGTAGATATTTATTGAATCATTGTATAGACCTACTAATTTACCAAATCAAATTGACCGTCAAAAGAAGCAAGCAATGATAAATAATCAGCTATTTCGTAAGGTTTACTAACAAATTGAACAATGACCATTGGACGCAAAAGCAAAATTGTCAAATACAAATACAACATTTTAATGCATAAATCATGTTGGTTTTTTTTTGTTATGATAAATATAGAGAAATTCCATCTTTTTCATATCGCAGTAAATCGTTGCTAGCGAATTTCCTGGTGAAAGTTAAAAGCGGTTGACGTTAATCAAGTTAGACGATTATATGGATGATATGGAACTACCACTCACTCTAGCAAGACAACTGTCGGTAGACTGTGGACTATCCTCGCTGTTCGACTTGATCATGTTTAATAACCTCTAATTGTAGTCAATTTGCCGTTGTATGAAGGGCCAAAAATGATTTGGGTGAATACGTGGGCAACATTGCCCCCATGCATCCACGGGATAAATGAGAATCTCCGTCCAACAACAGGATCATACAACCGATCAAAAAACAGGCCATCCAACAGGAGGATGAGTGGGAAGAAGGGTCCGCCCTCTTTTCACGAAATGTTAAAGACAGGGAGTTGGCATTCCCACTCTCCCCATCCATTTCGCTTCAATCAATTTGCCCTGGTGGACCGTCCCATACCAAGCATATAATGTTTCATATAATAATGGAATGAAAGTTAAGAGAAAAATAAAGGTAAGATCTCTCCCGATATTTTGCAAAGGAATCCATGTCATCACGACTTTTTTTCCTTGATTTATTTTTCGTCGATCTTGTTTTCCGTGCTGAGCACCAAAGACCAAAGCTACCACGCCAGGAAGGCAGCTTCCACACCTGGACCCTACCCTACTCATGAAACGTGGACCAACGGCTTTACTTCTTCGGAAGGCGTGATCAGAGATGTTATGCCTCAGAACATTCCGGCGGCGCTGACTGGGATTGAACCCAGGCCGGCTGGGGTGAGAGGCAACACGCTTACCACTACACAACAGGCACCACAATGACATCACGATGATTTCGAAGAGCTCCCATAGACATGCTGCCGCTACTTCTTCAACCGGTGTTTAAAACAGCACTTTCGCCTTTCGTTCCTCACACAGCAGCGTAAATCCCCATCAAGCACAAAACACATCCTAGCTGCTCCAAGTAGAGGGATCTCAGCTAAGAAAAAAAAGAACTGCGTCCACTTTCCATCACGACTAAACGGCTTCAGTTCGCCAGTACACAGTCTGTAAAACGCGCCAGCTCTTCACCGGCGGAATCAACTCGTACCCAACGCTGAAGTCAAAACCGACAACTCCATCGACCGAAAACAAACGCGTCTAATTGCTGCCACGGCACACTTCGATTGTCGTAAACCAAGCTAAACAAACCCAAAACCAATAGGTATATAGTGTAAGATCGATTTACGAAAAGTTAAAGAAGGTGATAAGTCTGCACGAGACTTGAGCAGTAGTGGAGGAGGAGCCAACTTACTAAAATATCCAGGACCCCTATCTACGGCGTGGTCAGACCCCGTAGTTTCCAACGTTTTGATATACGGTGGGTGCGATCAACCCCGAACGCAATCAGCCCCGAAACCCATACTGACCGTTTGAACAGCATACGGCGTGGGTAGACCCCGTAGTTTCCGTCGTTTTCGACCTACAGTTCGCGAACGGCTCGGCAAACGGTACCGTTGGAACACCCGAAGAAAGAGAGGAGAGGGAAGTGGAACCGAGGGACGAAGGACTGAAGCAGACGGAAGGAGAAAGTGAAGGTGAAGGTGTAGCAGAACGGAGGAGAAGCCATTCCACATCGAACGCTCGACTGTTTCGGTCAAGTATTGCTTGCACTCCGTAATCGGTACTAGTTTTTTTCCCCTATTGAGGTTTTTTTTTTAATCCGCTTTCATACTGAGTGGTGTTGTAGTATACAACAGTGCAGTGAGCATCGCGGAATTGTAATTGCCGCTCAATCGTTCGAGAAAGGAAGCAGTCATTTCCGGCCGAGTCCGGCAGATGAGCTGTACATCTCTAACCAACAAGTTTCATCGCATCACGAAACGGCAAACTCAAGGTCATCGAGTTCACCAGCCGGCGAGCCAGCCGGTGCTTTGTTGCAAACACTCGAGGGCAACAATAGAACGATCATCACCATCATTCTCACATCAGGATAGATCATCGTCATCAGCCACACTCCGTGCGCTTGTGTGGAGAGTTAAGTAACAAACGGTTATCTTCCGTTCTCCGCAACCTGATTAATCTCCATACAGTGTTGATTAACTTTTCTGACACCTTTTTGTTTTTTCCTGAAAAGATTTTCATTTTTTTTTTTTTCTCTTTTTTTTCATTTACTGTTTTTTTTTTGCAAGTTGATTAATCTCCCTATAGTGTTGATTAACTTTCCTGGCATTATTTTTTTCCATTTTAAAGTTTTTTTTTTTTGCTTTGTTGGATTAAGTATTATTTTTACCGTTATATTTTTTGGATAAGTTTATTTTTTTTCTTATTTTTTTTTTATTTATTATTTTTTTTTTCTCAACGCATATATATATATATATATATATATATATATATATATATATATAAATATATATATATATATATTTCCTTTTTATGTCGAAATCTGTTGCGGAGGTACTTAAGACCCCGCAATGGATGAAACCAATGATGGCGGGGGTATTTCGCTAGCAGATATCTCCGATGATGAGTCTGTTAAATCTCCATCATTCGAAAATCTGCTTCTCACTGAAGAGGAAATGGATACCTCAGGGGATCCTACTTCGGACCCCAAAACGAGCACTGGAGCTTACCCAAAGGTGATGTCTAAACAACAACCTCCTTCACCCCCTGCCCCCCCTTCTCCACCATCGCCCCCTCGTCCACCTGTTCCCCCTACTCCAACCGTTCCCTTAAAAATTTCTGCGACCCCCCGCCATAAAGCTTACCCAAGCGACTCAAAAGGTCCGTGGGTTGTTTTTTTCCGGCCCAAACAAAAACCTTTGAATATTTCTCGGATTTCGAAGGATCTGACAAAACATTTTTCGGCCGTAACCGATATCTTTAAGGTAACGTCAAACAAACTGCGCGTTACCGTTGATGACCTGAAACAGGCAAACCGGATTGTTGCCTGTGAGCTTTTTTCGATCGAATATCGAGTCTACGTCCCCAGTTGTGACGTAGAAATTGAAGGAGTGGTCACCGAATCGAGTCTGACTTGTGAGGATTTCCTGCAAGTCGAATCTTTCGGCATTTTCAAAAACCGTGCCCTCCCGAAAGTCAAGATACTGGACTGCATTCAACTGCAGTCAGTGTCGCACATAGGCACAAAAAAAAAGTATACCCTCTCAGATTCGTTTCGTGTGACCTTTTCAGGATCGGCATTACCTGACTACGTCACAATTGGGAAGGTTCGACTACCTGTACGCTTGTTTGTACCGAGGGTAATGAATTGCTTGAAATGCAAACAACTAGGTCACACCGCGGACTTTTGTTCCAACAAACCGCGGTGCGATCAATGTGGGGAGGAGCATACGGAGGGTCCTTGTCATGCTACCCCAAAATGCGTTTACTGTAAGGATGCTCCGCATGCTCTGAGTGATTGCCCGAAGTACAAACAGCAGGGAGAAAAACTAAAGCGGTCTTTGCAAGCTCGCTCTAAGCGCTCGTTAGCAGAAATTTTAAAAACGACCGCTTCATCTTCCCAAACCACCCCAAAAAGCAACAACACATTCCACCTCTTGCCAGATGATGATCAGGGCTCTGACTCAGAGGTGGGTGAGAGTAGTCCTTTTGTCTTTAATGGCAACACGAGGAAGCGGTCCAAAATAAACGTCACCCAAAAACCTCGTAAGGCCTCTCGTATGGACTACCAACCTACCTTGACAAATTCAAGAGGTAGCGGAAATGTACCGAAACCCCCACCACCGGGATTTAAATCTTGTAATTTTAACAAGGACTTTCCGCCACTTCCGGGATCATCTAAAACCCCAGATATCCCAGTTTTTCAGCCAGAAAAACAGCTGAATAATCAGCAAGAACATGATGCCATGTTCACGTTTTCTGAAATTGTGGAGAGCATCTTCAATATATTCAACGTCTCTGACTCAACTCGGAACATTATTAATTTAGTGCTTCCATTCGTGAAAACTCTTTTGAAGCAACTAGCTTCTAGGTGGTCCTTCCTTGCATCGATCATATCCTTTGATGGATAATTTTCCGAATGAGGTCGGGGATATGATCTCTGTTCTTCAGTGGAACTGTAGAAGTCTTATACCGAAACTTGACACATTCAAATTTTTAGTTCACAACTCACTTTGTGATGCATTTGCTCTTTGTGAAACATGGCTTTCTTCAGACACCGATCTCCCTTTCCACGATTTTAACATTATTCGCCTTGATCGAGCAGATTCGTATGGAGGGGTGCTTCTCGGGATTCATAAGCTCCATTCCTTTCATAGAATCGATCTGCCTTCCGTGACAGGCATTGAAGTTGTCGCATGTCAGGTAAATATTCGAGGTAAAAGCCTCAGTATTGCCTCAGTATATCTTCCTCCAAGAACTGCGATTTCTCGCCAAGGTCTCTCAGATATCTGCTCAGCTTTATCTGAGCCTCGGTTGATATTAGGAGATTTTAACTCCCACGGTACAGGCTGGGGGGAACTGTACGATGACAACCGCTCAACCCTGATATACGACCTTTGCGATAACTTCAATATGACAATTCTAAACACTGGGGAAGTAACACGAGTGGCCAAACCTCCAGCAAGAGAAAGTAGATTAGACCTCTCCCTCAGTTCGAGTTCACTATCGTTGGATTGCTCGTGGAAAGTAATTCAAGATCCCTACGGTAGTGACCACTTGCCAATCAAAATTTCTATTACCAATGGTTCATCTTCCACTCGCTCGGTTGACATCGCGTACGACCTCACGAAAAACATCGACTGGCAAAAATTTGCGTCCGCGGTTCTCGGTGGTACTGATTCGGTTGACATACTCCCTCCGCTGGATGAGTACTCCTTTTTATCGCGACTTATCGTTGACTGCGCTCTTCAAGCACAGACGAAACGCGTTCCGGGTGTTTTCGTTCGCAAACGACCTCTCACTCCGTGGTGGGATAAG